GGGGTGGGTATCCTCTCCCAACCCCCGCCTTCCCCCCCCCCCCCGACCCCCCGGGCCTTGAAGTGGGGCTTCAGGTACAAGTTTGAGAAGTGCGGTCTGGCACCCTGAGTCTAGGCTCTGCGGCCTCTCATAGGAGCCTTCTGTCATCCGGGTCCCCCTTCTGTCTCCCTGCCCCACACGCTCTCTCTGCCCCAGGGCCAGTCCACCACCACCCGCTCACAGTCTCCCGCCTCTCAGTGCCCTCTGCCAGTCAAGATCCTTGCCAATCAATCCTTCCACGGATTCAGCTCTGCCACCCCCTGCCCTGCCCTCTGAACACCCACCCCCCCCACCTTGGTCCGGGACACTAGCCAGACCTGCTTCCCACGTGCAGCCGAGCCCCTGGAGACAGACACCACAAGTGCACCCGGGCCTCGGCGCCCCTTAAACACAAGCACTGGCACCAAGGGCTTCATCAGTCTGTAGCTAGTTTGGGTGGTATATGGTGTAATTTACGAACAAAACTATTCCGTCTCTCATTAATCATGTAAGTACCTGTTGCGTTATACTCCACACATATTCATATTTCTTTTAGTATAAAAATAATGTATGGGGCACCTGGGTGGCTCGGTCGGACTCATGATTTTTGGCTCAGGTCATGATCCCAGGGTCCGAGATGAGCACGGAGCCGGCTTGGGACTCTCTCTTTCTCTCTCTCTGCCCCTCCCCTGCTCTCTCTCTCTCTTTCTCTCCTTCTCTCTCTCTCTCAAAAAAAAAAAAAATGTTTCTGCCTCTCCCTCTGCCTAACCCTTCAAGTACAATTGAAATTCCAGGTTTCTTCAGACCGGGCTACTCTGTCCCCAAGGAGGGGCGCTGTAAAAAATAGTTTGGCAAGTCAGGTGAGGGGTGCAGGGAGAGGTAGACATCCCTGAGGGTTCATTTGCTGCTAAGGAGTTTCTCTTTATCTATTGATTGACTTAACTTTATTATTATTTTATTTAAAAAAATTTTTTTAATGTTTATTTATTTTTGAGACAGAGACAGAGCATGAACGGGGGAGGGGCAGAGAGAGAGGGAGACACAGAATCTGAAGCAGACTCCAGGCTCTGAGCCATCAGCCCAGAACCTGACTCGGGGCTTGAACGCACAGACGGTGAGATCATGACCTGAGCCAAAGTTGGACACTTAACCGACTGAACCACCCAGGCGCCCGGATTGGCTTAACTTTAAAAAATGCATATGGTGGGGCACCTGGGTGGCTCAGATGGTTAAGCGCCCGACTGTGGCTCAGGTCATGATCTCTCGATTCGTGAGTTCGAGCCCCACGTCAGGCTCTGTGCTGACAGCTCAGAGCCTGGAATCTGCTTTGGATTCTGTATCTCCCTCTCTCTCTGCCCGTCCCCTACTCATGCTCTGTCTCTCAAAAATGAGTAAATGTTTTTAAAAATGCATATGGTTAAAAACTTCTAGCAGTACAAAACGGTAGAGCATGAAAAGTAACCCTTCCGTCTGTGACCCCCACACCCCAAGCCCTGTCCCAGGGGCAGTCACTCTTTTTTTTTAAATGTTTATTTATGTTTGAGAGAGAGAGAGAGAGAGAGAGAGAGAGCACGAGAGGGGAAGGGAAAACACAGAATCCAAAGCAGGCTCCAGGCTCTGAGCTGTCAGCACAGAGCCCGACGTGGGGCTCGAACTCATGAACCATGAGATCATGACCTGAGCTGAAGTCGGACACTTAACTGACTGAGCCACCCCGGTGCCCCGAGGGGCAGCCACTCTTACTCATCCCTTACATACCAATCCGGGCATTGCTAATGAACAGTCCGTGGCTGGTAGCCAAAAGTAATGACCGATGGAAGGTAAACTGAGGCATGGTGAAACCCAGCCCCCAGCAACGCACTTCCGAGGGTTGAAGCAGCTTCCGTGCGGCAGGGTCAGCTAAGCTGACATTTTTCTTCTTGTCTTTGGTTCA